TACACTCCATGCCAATTTGGCAATCGCGGGCCCGATATTCGATTCAAGATCAGTTCCGGGACCGGTATTCGACTCCAAATCAGTGCCCACGCAAGCTTCATTAGTGACTTTCATCAGTGACTGATTTAAACAGTAATTAAACTTATTCTTACAAACCTCCCCCCACTTGACCGCATGCGAAGCCCGACCAAGGCAGTCGCTCAAAGCAACATCGAGCGATAATTCTATAATTATACTTCAAACACACTCGACCACTTACATAAATTTTTCAATGATCTTACAGGGGTGTGTGAAGAGGCAGGAGGATGGGTCTTCCCTCGTCGAACAGGCTGGCCGCGGCGGTCTTGCTAAAGCTGTATTTAGGCGCTCAGACCCCGCAGGAGGATGCAACCCGATCAGGCGAGGTTGCAGACGTGCTAGACCACTGCTTTCAGGTCATCTCCACAATGACCTCATCTAATTTTCCAGTCCTTCAATTACTTCTACTGAACGAAATAGAGGCCGTGGGCTACGTTAGGCATGAAAAGCCAATTGCCGTGCTTCTGCGCAAGGTGCACGAAGCGTGCGGCCAGTCTCTCCGCGACTGCCTCGAAGCTGTTATGAGAGCATTGGAATCTCCCGATGATCTCATTACCCTGCTTACGCTTATCCAAGACATGCTAACGCCACCTGCATGCCCGACTGTAGATGGAAGATTTCTCAGGCCGACGCACATAGAGCCAGACAGCGTATTTGGTGTGTTTTTGCGACAGTTGCTACTTGACTGTAATGGGCTTGACTTTGAGGGTTTGGCGTTTTTGTTGGACGACATAAAAGCTGAAATGTGGGCGATCTGTCCTCTGTCATCGCAATCACCGGAAAGATCTTCATCTTGCCCGCCCACGCAAATACCCGTGCTCTCAAGCACCTCCCAACAAGCGCAAAAGTACCTGCAACGGCGCATTTTAGACTTGGAACAGGAGGGCGGACGAGACAGTTATGAAGACGTGGAAGAAGAGATAGAAGCGCTCTTGCAGCAGCATCCAGAACTCCCACGAGGCCAATTCCTGCGTTACCTGAACTCGAGCCGCCACCGCGAGGTAGCGGGTGCCTTGGACGCGCTCCATCGATATTTTGACTATGCGATCCGCCGGGGCGGGCCCAACGCCACTGGCAAGACATCCAGCAGCCGTAACATTGTCCAGTATGCAGCCTTGAACCTTGCCGCGCTTCATTTGAGGCTGGGACACACCGACCTGGCGTTTGCAGCCATCGGAGAGACCGTACGGGCCGCACAACAGAACTCAGACCACGCGTGTATGGCCTTCGCCTTGGGCTGGCTCAGCCAGCTTCTGACCCTGACCGGCGACCCGCAGGCAGAAGAAATTCTCTTCCGTTGTCTGACTCGGGCGGGGGACCAAAAACTCCGGTACTTGGAAAGCTCAACAGCCTTGTCTTTGGCTGCCGCCGAGGCCAGGGGCGGGAGCCGCCTCCATGCAGGAGAGCCCCTGGCCGGCCTCAGCCCCCCGCCCCGCCCCGTACCGTCCGCTACCTGTGTCGAGTCTGCTTACCGGCGGACGGGACCGTCGGGGGGCACCACGACCGGGTTCTGGGGGGGCGGGCGGCTGGCCGTCGGGCTGGAAGGTAGTCGGCCTCGGGCAGTCTGGAACCTGCTCCGTCGCTCTGTGGTCGCCGAGACTGCGGGCCTGGCTCCTCCTCTGGGTATTGCGGCGCCACCACAGACCACGGGGCCTCCCCAGCCCGTCATTGCGACTCTCGCGGCGTCTTTGACCAGCGCCCTGGCGTCGCGGGATGCCTTTCCCCTCACATGGGAGGAAGGACTACAGCTTGCGAACCGTCGATGCGCTGTGACGGCGGCGGCGTGGGAGCAGTTGGGGCACCGAGAAATGACTTTGCTGCAGGCTAGAAAGCTTCTGTATTGCGCTTCGAACGGCTACGGTGCAGAGGCAGGGGCCGAGGGTGATTTGGGAGGCGGTACGGGGAGTAAGCAGGAAGTGTGTCTAGCGAGAGTCAAGCTCGCGTTAGGTGCCTTGAAAGGCAGAGGCGGGGACGGACTGGAGGCGGCTGAAGGAGGATCGGTCGAGGGAGACTTTGGAAGCGAGGAAGAGGTGGGGGGAGCTGGCCTTGGTACAAGAGGGGCGCGGGAGCCCGCCTCCTCGCTCGGCCAGGGAGCGGAGAAGTCCGAGGGGAGGGGCGGGTTTCGACCAAGACCTCTCACGCAAATGGCTTTCGCACATCCAGGACGGCGAGGCACACGTCCTGGTGGCAATATTTGCGCGCATAAAAGGCGCGGAGAGCGCCAGCTTTCCTTGTACGAGATCGCCTTGACACAGCTGGCCCGCGCGCAAGACGAGTTCGCCGGGTCAAGCGGCGCCATGCTGCCCATCGCCATGACCCTCTTGGAGCACGAAGCCGCAGTCCAGTCCGGAAAATGGCGCCGCGCCTATGAAGCAGGCCTTCGGCTGCGAAGCCTGAGCGCTCTCCCAAATGGCCCGGCCGCAGGTGTGCAGGGCAAGGAGGCTTTTGTGGAGGGGCAGCTTCAGTGGACGTTCGCCTTGCTGGAGTCTGGGCGGGTTAGCGCCTGCGTGGAAGCAACCCAGCGTCTGGCCGACCTGTGCGGACAGCTGTCGCTCCCTCTGCACCACATTCGCTGCCTGATTCAGCTTGGGCGCGCGCACCTTCGAGGCTGCCCGGTGGACCCATCTTCTGCCCTTCCCTCCGTCTTGCGGTCGCTCACACTCTCCGAGAGGCTCGATGTCGACTCATTGCATGCCTCCGCGACCCTCCTGCTCGCCCAGATTCACCTTCGACTCGGGTTTCCTATCAAAGCACGTGCCCTTCTACGGGCAGCACTGCCCATACTCTTGGAACACTCACCTGTGCAGGAGCAAGGGGAGGCATGGATAACACTCGCGCACTGCGGTCTGCAAGACCTTCCGCCGTTTGAAGCGATGACGAGCCCGTCTGCTACCAGCCTACACACCCCGAAGGACACGGTCAAGGGCCCTGGCGGCCTACGTGGGGCGTATTTGGACCTGCTCGATATCTTGGAACGAGCAGCGAGCGCCTTTGAGCGAAGCCAGGGCCTTCGGAGTCTGCAAGAGGTCTACTATCTTCAAGCGCGGCTGTATGACGCTCTTTCTCAATGCCTGCCCGGGGATGAAGCGGTGGAGAAGAAGGGACTGGGTAAAGAGACAGAGAATGAGAGATGTGGCCACAAGTACGAGCGGGAGGAGGCCGCGACGCGCTTCTTTGAGGTAGTCCGGTCTCTGAGGCTGAACAGTCATTGGGGCGTGGACGCAGAAATGGAGGAGCACGGAGGAAACGGGGGATGGCGTTGCGAGATGCGACAACTCGCCTGACCGAATGGGACGATGAGAAAGGGCGTGTGTAAAGGAAAGGTGTGATAGTGGCTGGCGTGTTGAATAACCTTTAACGCAAAGAAAATTTAAAAAAAAACAATCACCTGGAAGGTTTCATTTAGTATTTGTCGCTCCTTTCCTCGATCGGCTCAGGTACGTTACTCCCAGCTTTTACCGGTCCCGTCCTTGTCAGAGCACGAGGCGCTTAACCAAAAATGCTCCCGCAGTCCTCCCTCTTCAACACTGTCACCATCCCACACAGACCGCCCTAGTAATATGGGTGATATCTTCCCCTCCCCCTCCCCCTGCCCCGTGGCCGATGATACCCATAGCCCCCTCCATACCCGCCGCGGAATCCCCCCCGAGCCCGGCCCCTCCCTCCACCCCTTCCTCGGAAAAACCCGTGCACGTTGTGCCGTTTGTGCGTCACCTTGATCGGACGCCCCTTCAAGAGCGAGTTGTCCAGTTTCAAGGCCCCGTCCACTGAGGCCTTCTCCAGAAACTCCACGTACGCGAAACCTTTCGGTCGCCCTGTGTGCTTGTCGCAGAGAATCGTGACCCGGTTGATTGTCCCGCAGTCTTGGAAGTGAGCCTGTAATTCCTCGGGCGTGACTTCGTAGTCGACCTGACCGACGTAGCTGGAGGAAAGGAGCGGTGACCCGTGCAAGGATACAGAGGGGACTTACGTCTTTCAGTTACTTCAAACATTATTGATATCAAAAAGCAACACTGACTACAATTGGTGAGCTCTACTCATCGGTAACTGGCACTCCGTCCGCGCGTATGAAAGCGACCGGAAATCAACGCGTCTCCCACGAACTACCGATCACCACTTGTGAACCATGCCGTCATACTCACATTGAATTCTCATCAATGGCTGCCTGTCCCGCTGCATTTGCTTCGCCGTTTGCACCTTCTTCCACGCCACCAGCTGCTCCTACCGCGCCCGCGGAGGAGGCCTCGACATCCTTCATCATTTCCTTCAGCTTCTCCTCTTCCTGACGGATCTTCTCTTGCTGCCGCTGAAGCTCCGCTGCCAAATGCTCTGGATCATCGTGCGTGGCTGCGCCTGTACCGTCGTCTTGACCCTCATTGTCGCCTTCTCTCTGCTCGTCTTCACCGGGGACTGCACCGTCCATCCCGGGGTCCTCCTCCTCCTCGTAGTATTCTTCTTCCTCCTCCCCTCCGCCTTGTTCCTCGACCCCAGCGGCCAACTGTGCCTCGGCGCTCATGGTGCAGATTTGAATGTTGCGCTGGTAAGCCTGTCATGTGCACAAGAGAGTTTAACTAAGATTAAATGGGAAAAAATAGGTTCTCGTAGATGCTTCCTTGGTTGCGTGCAAAAGCTACTGCCCCCGCCCGTCTGGGAGAACCACACAGCCCCACTGACCGCAGGCGCGTGCCTGCAAAGCAAACACCACACCCACAAGAACCGAGAAGCGCGCTGTAGTGGATTGAAAAAGATGGGACAGGCTGGATATGGCCCCGTGACAAACTATGTGACCGGAGCTATCCATTCCTCGGGCCCTCCTTCCAACCCTGAGCCCCTCCTCTCGCCTGGACCTCACGGCATAAGGAACAGTCATCTTCAACTTTAGACAACTTACCCCCCACATTCCACGTCCACTACATACGTCTCAGGAATTATGGCGTCGGACTTATCGCACGCACGGAGGAAGAGAAGAAAATGCAGTCACTTCTTTTTTTCATTCCTTTTTCTTGCAAACTTCTCCGTCACCTCGGCCTTCCACACCATGCTCCCATCCATGCACCGACCCGTGAAGGAAACGCGCCGCCGCACGCTCATGCGCGCGCGGGCGAAGGAAGAAAGCCTGGGTAATGCAGTGGACGCGAACTTGTACGTTGACCGCAGTTGCTCGGGTTGTGGAACATGTCGGAGCATCTGTCCTGGTGTCTTTGGTGACCTAGGGCTGCAATCGGTAGTGGAGAGAGAGCCTTTGGATAAAAACGAGACACGGGCTGCGTACCGTGCAATGGTCACATGTCCTATGGGTGCGATCAGATTGCGTAAGCCAGATCCTCTTGTGAAAGAGGTGGTGATGCACGACTTCCCCACCCCTCTGGATCCTGTAGCGCTTCCCGGAGTGTATTTTCTGGGATATCACAACCGGGAGAGCATGGGTGTAACGCCGTACTTAATCGTGCGGGACAATGGCGAAGGAAACATAATGATAGATGCCCCACGATTCAATGGACGACTGGCACAGCAGATCGAGTCTTTGGGGGGAGTCCGATACATGATAGTGACACACGAAGGCTCTGCGCCCCATCACGACCTGTGGCACGCCTTCTTCCCCTCGTCTGAACGAGTCGTGCACCGGATGGACGTGACGCGAGAGATGAGGGGGCAGGGTGGAGGCTATCCTTCAAGGAAAGGGACCTTGGCGTATCGACGACGACGTGAAGATCGTGGCGCTCCCCGGCTACTCTCCTGGCTCTATCGGCGTCCTTTTCCATCCCTCGTCAGTGAGCAGCAATGGAATAGAGGAGGATTCGAAATGGGGAAAGGATGGAGAGCGAAATGGCATCCTCTTCAGCGGGCGGACCCTGGGGTGGTCTGCCCGCTTGAATCGCTTGGATGGCTTCGCGCAATTTTCTCGCGGAAGCTTGAGGAAACAGCAGCGAGTATCAAGGGGCTGGGCAAGGAAGACTTTGCGTGGATACTTCCCGCGGAGGGGCTCAAATTCCATCTGCCTGGAGGAGGGAATGCGGAGACGAGAGAACGTCTCTTGGCGGAGGCGGCCGAGTTGTTTCTGGCCCGGGGCCGCGTGGGCGGGCTAAATGTATAAAGCAAGCATGTCAATTAGACCCCGCGGAGGTGCATGTCGTGTCGATAATCTTCTTTTTCCATGCCTTGATTGTGCCTCTCCTCCATTCACCGCCCATCTTCCTCTTATCCCCCTCCTCGCTGTTCTCAATCCCCCCCTTCCTTCTTGCCCGCCCTCCTCCTCTTTCGTTGCCTGTCCTTCTTGCCCCGCTTCTTCCGCTCCAAATGCTCATGGACCTGCTCGTCAAAGCCCACCTCCATCAGCCTCATCCGCGCCGCCCTCGTTGCCTTGGCCACGGGGTTCAAGAGCCTCACCACCTCCTCCTCCGTCACCTCCTCGCACGCCGGCATTTTCCGCCCCGTTACGGCCTCCACCCCTTGCAACAAGGCCACATCGTACTGGGTGACCATGGACACCGCCCGCCCGTACCGTCCCGCCCTGGCCGTGCGCCCGACCCGGTGGATGTAGTCGGTCGAGAGCCGCGGGAGGTCGTAGTTGAGGACAAGGTCCACGTCGGGGATGTCGAGGCCCCGACTCGCCACGTCCGTGCTCACCAGCACACGCACCAAGGAGCTCTTGAACTTGCCCAGGGCCGCCAGACGCCGTTTCTGGCTGAGGACTGAGTGGAGGGAGACGGCCGTGAGCCCTGCCTCCAGCAGTACCTCGGCAACCTCCTGACAGCGTTGGCAAGTGCCTACGAAGACCATGGCAGATTTCACAGGGCCCGCGGTACCACTCTCGTCCCCGGCGCCCTTCGCACCCCGTCTTCCCCGCACGCTGTCCGTCTCTGTGCCAACGCCGAGCAAAAGCTTCTGAAGGAGCCGGATCAAGTAGCACATCTTGACCTGGGCGGGGACGAAGAGGTATTCCTCCTGCAGAGAGGCCGGCAAAGCCCGCGCCCGCGTCAGGTCGAAGAGCACGGGCTGCACGCGGGTCAGCCGCTTCAAGTCCTTCAAGGCATTGGTCATGGTCGCGCTGAAGAGGAGCGTCTGGCGGCGAGGATGCCGCATGGCCGCCAGTATCCCGGCCAAGTGCTGCTCGAAGCCGTCGCAGAACAGGCGGTCCGCCTCATCCAGCACGAGGAACGTGGCTTTGCTCAGATCAGGTGGGGCCGCGCCCCGAAGATGATCCCACAGCCGTCCCGGTGTCGCCACGACTACATGAGGGCGCCGAGCCAGCTCTACCGCTTGTTGGACCATGCTCTCCCCGCCTATGACCACGCAGTGCCTCAGGCCTAGCGGCGCGCCCAGTGCCTGGAATTGCTCTGCGATCTGAATAGCGAGCTCCCGCGTGGGGGTCAGGACCAGCCCAAACACCCCGTAAGGGTCTTCTGACAGGCGGTGCAGCATGGGGAGGGCAAAGGCTGCCGTCTTTCCCGAACCGGTTTCCGCACATCCCATCACGTCCCTCCCTTGCAAAATGGAAGGAATGCACTGTTCTTGCACCGGTGTCGGGCGTTTAAAGCCCATAGCATTACATGCTCCTTGGATCCAAGGGGCCAGTCCCAGTTGTGTCCAACAGCTTGACGACAATGAGTCCGAGCCCGCGTCCACGCCCGCCTCCTGCACTGACTCTCGTCCTACGCCTTTAAGCTGGGAGCCCCCCACCGCAGGCGCCGTGCCAACCTTAGCTTCCTCCTCCACTACTGACCGGGGCCGCTTTTTGCTTGCTTTTCTAAGTACCTTCGAGGAAGTCGCGAATAGTGATACCATGGTTGCCAAGCACCGGAAGATGCTCGATCCAGGGGCCCTCACTCCTCGAGTAGCACTAGGATTGTAGCGGTGTACCCTGTGACCTGGCCTGTTGGGCTTGAAGGCATTACAGACTAATGTCAAAATGCTTGTCTTCAATGGCACTTTACCTGATTACACACAATCAGTAAAAATGTCGCTGGAAACAAACAAACGTAGCGCTAGAGGAGAGGTTAAGGCAGTATCAACCAACCTCCTCCTCGTGTGGCAGGCCTCGGTAGACCGTGACGCCGTACCCAGTCTAACCACGACCAGCGTTATTTCACTCCTCTTGCCATTTACATACTTTCTTCGCAGCGATATCAGACAGATGGCTTTAATGCCACGGTCTCGGAGACGCCGCTGCGACCAGAAAGGCAGGCCTCTATGGTGATCATCCAGTGACGCAAAACCTCACACCTCCTGGTCCCGCCCATCGATGCGCCGCCCTAATCATCGCGTAGCAGGCTGGAAGCCCTTCGATGGTCTTGAGTGTGGTAGACGGACAGATAACAATTGCTTCTTATCACTTGCGTCGCGCTTCCGGGGATGGTCTACCAAGAAATGCTATTACTTGTTCGCCGTCTTCATAGTGGGCTGCCTTCTACTGCACTTGTCACACACGGCCTTGCAAATGAACTTCCGAGTCGATTTTCTCCCGACAACTTCACCAACGGGTGGACCATTTGGGAGTACATACACAATCCGCGTGAACACCTTTCGGCGGAATGACATGCTGAAAAGGTTTTTGGGCCATTTCGCAAGGTGCCCTAACGTACAGGCAATCCAAGTTATTTGGTCCGACCAAGGATACGACCCTCCCTCTCTCATGGACTGGGCAATCCCCCTTTCAACACAAGAATTGTCAAAAGTAGCATTCGAAGTCCAGCCTACGGATAGCCTCAACAATCGCTTCCGGGCACTTTTGCCTGTACCCACTCCGGCAGTCTTGTCCTTGGATGACGATCTGGTAATCCCATGCGAGACCTTGGATTTTGCCTATTCAATATGGCAAGCGGCGCCTCAATCACTGGTTGGGTTCACACCCCGTTTGGTAACCTGGGACGGGGAGACTGCCTCTGGCGTCGTCGCTGGGAAGAAAGTGACGGAATTGGAGGCAGGAGAGGGGGCAGGCCCCGGTCCCGGTGCTGCTGGCAGCTACCGATACCTGAGCTCTTTCAAGCACGTCTGGTGGCACGGACGCTACAATGTGATACTGACTAAATGCTGCTTTCTGCACAGGGACTTCCTCTCCCTGTATTTCTCGTCCCTAACGCCTGAGGTCTTGCAGTACATCGACGACCGCAGAAATTGTGAGGATATCGCTATGCAGTTCGTGGTCGCCAACCACACGCGTGGGGCCCCTCCGGTCTGGGTTCAGGCGCGATTTACAGATTACGGGCAAAAGTCAGGCATCAGTCAGGGAGAGGACCACGCGCGGGAGAGGGGAGCGTGCGTGGGGCGTTTGGTGAAGGAGTTTGGGAGCCTATGTCTCACCACGACGTCGCTCAAAGCCATAGATGCCCGAAGGTCCTGGATCTGGTAGCTCCAGCGACCTTTCGAAAACTTAGAAATCGCCATCTCACCATTGGCAGGTCTTCGCCTTGAAAAGCAGCTATTTTTGTTCCTGCGGCTCAGGTGCTGCACGCTAGAGCTTGGGTTGTCTCCAGGGCTCTTCCTGTCAGGCGGGCCTTGTCAATGCCGAAGCATTATGTAATCTAGGGCCCCAGTGTCATTGTGGCATTGATGCCGTGTTTGCTTGCATAGATGAACACAAATAAGAAGAAGTTCCTTCGGCATGTATCAAAAGTACGCACGCAATTAATACCAGCTTCCAGATCAGGCACAGGACACGCCCACTTGCTGCCTACGTTGCTTTTTATTTCCTCCTTATCCAATAACAATCGTATCCTCCCGTTGCAAGTGTGTTCCCCCAACTTCCTGGAGATAGCACTCGCGTCCCACGCAAGGGTAGCCTGTGTTGCACTAGCGATGTCTCGCCCATTCGGTTCCTGCGACAGTGCAAGACATCCGGCTTATGCTTACGTGGACCTAGTCACCGAGCGTCAAGCCGACGGACAGCTTCCCCTGGTGGCGAAGCGGGTCAAAGGCTTTAAGGAGAGGAGAAAACTCAAGGGGTAGACATGCTTTGCCGCGGCTATTCGGACAGCGAGGGAGGAGAGTTGGAAAGTCGGCCCCGGAGGGTCCTAGGCGTGTGTTTCTCTTTCTCCTCACGTTGAATTGTGGCCCGGATGATATCACCCACACTGGCAACGATAGTGTGCACTAGCAGCCGAGTGCGGAAGAGGATGAAAAGGTCACGTTTGACATGTGAGCGACGAGTATGAGTGGATATGCATGTGTGGATATGTGAAGCTTTATCCCCTTCGGCTACGGGGCTTTTCAAGGTCTTGCAGACGTATAAACATAATTCTTTTGACTTAATTTTTGAAGGTCAAGTTACCTCATTCCGCGATAACGTGGTACACCTCATCGTTACTGTCCCGGGAATCGCTGTGTTCCTGACGGCAGACCGCCCTCGTTGGCACGTCTTCGCCGCTTAGCACGTCATTTTTCCCGACGCCGGGTCCCAGGCTTAACTTCTCGAGCTTCTCCTCGATCGTCCGCATCCTGTCCGCCAAAAGCGAGAGTGTCCGGGTTAAGTGCGTCGGGCTGAAATCCCTCTCCCCTTCCTCAGCTTCGCAGTGCCCTGATACCCCTAGTTTCTCCCTTGCTTTCCGTTGCCACCCGGCCCCAGAGACTGCCTGCGCTTTGACTCGGCCTTGTGAACTGCTGTCTTGATGCATTCCAGGAAAAGATGATGCTGGGGCGGCCGTAGGGACCGCAGTCCTTGCCCTCTCCTCTTCTCTGGTCTCCTGCTCCTCCAACTCCGCGAGCAAAGGGGGCGCCGAGGGTTTTTCAACGTGGTAATCGACAACATAGTCCTGCTGCCAGGCTTTCGATGTCTCTGCCTGCTCTCCCCTCTGAGGCTCTCCTCGATTTCTACTGAATGCGGAGAGCTGTCCCCCCTCCCTCTCCTCTGTTTCCCAATATTGATCTCTTCCTGCGACCGGAGATGGTCGCTGATACGCAGGCACGGGCACGTCCATTTCATACTTATGGGCATAAGCGTAGCGTTGAGGTATGTAGGGCGGGCGAGCGTGAGGGGCGGGAGATGTGGAGGAGGAAAAGGGCCAATCGGCGTCGGCCTCTTTTGCGGTCACCGTGGTGCGGACCCGGTTGTAGGGCGCTAGATTCGAACGCCAAACCATGACCGTCCTGTCTTGCATCCCCGCAGAGGCGAATAGGGAGCTGTCGGCGTCCGGACTGAAGGCGGCTTGAGCGATGCGTCCCCGATGCCCGTGCACCGTGAATAGCAAGCGAGCTTCCCGCACGTCCCAGACCTTTAAGGTGCCGTCTTGAGAAGATGTCAGGACAAAGTTGCCCGACGAGTGGAAGGCCACGGAATTGATACCCTCTGCATGCGCGGGCGCGTATTGCTGGACCAGATCCTGCGTCCGCGTATCCCAGATGCGTAGACACCGATCCCGGCCCCCCGCAGCCAGACAGGCACCGTCCGGATGGAAGGCCACCGCACACACCGCGTCTTTCGCCTCCGTCAAAACGCCCAGACACTCCCGGTTCTGCACGTCCCACAGGCGGACGGTACGGTCCTCGGATCCGGACGCCGCCATCAGGGCATCAGGGCTGAAGGTGGCTGAGCGCACCCAATGGCTGTGTCCTTGCAAGCTACCTCGAAAGCGGCGGTCGTGCAACGATATGATTTTGACGGTCTTATCGTCTGACCCAGTCAGCAATAGACGACTGTCCGCTGAAAATGCCACAGAGCGCACCGCACGCGAATGATTTTTGAGAACCAAGGCTCGTCCTCGTGCGGATGGCTCCCATAATTTAACGATGGCATCCCCCCCTCCCGAGGCCAAATAGCGGCCCGATGGGGAATATTGCACAGAATGTACGGGTCCTTTATGACCCGGGTACCGGAAAGCGCGCTGTTCGGGCTTGAAGTGCCAGACATGGACAGTGCCGTCCTCAACACCTGAAGCGAGCTGCTTGATCGTGGGACTGAACGCGAGGCTCAAGACACCAGCTCTATGACCACGGAAAGTTCGCTCCAACTCTGGTGTCACGAGTTCATCGGCATCTAGCAGGGAGGAGGACGTTATAACCATGATCCTTCAACCTGTGTTGTGAATGTCGATGGGACCGAAACGTCAAATTTTGCAACTTAGAAGAACGCTCGCCGAGGCGACGCTCGAAAAGTAAGCGAGGCCCCCCGTGACAATGCTTACACGGACCCCCCCAAAAAAAGGACAACCTATATTTCTTCGGCACGGCCACTCAATTCATCAGAGGCTCGTCCCACACGCAGGTGTGCCAGCGCCGCTTGCATTGGCTTGGAGGAAAAAAGAAGGGGAGGGGCAGCCTATAAAATTTATGGCATACAGGGATACCAGCACTTCCGCAAGCTTGTGCTGAACTTTGTACACAAGTCAAAAAGCTCCGACACCAGACCAGGAAATAGAAAACAAGGAAGAAGATATGTATTCAGCATCCGGCACAATTTATCTACTAAAATTTCGATAGGTCGAAGCAAAGTTCAAGATAAATGAGTGTAGTCACCATTCTTGTTGTCTACATCACCCTCATCGCATTTTTGATCTGGGTCTGCGTTCTTGCGGATCCCAACTCTGACACACTAGGTAATGTCATGGCTATGGCTCCAAGTACAGTCTAGGCGGTTTTTGGTGGTGGTATGGTTGCTTCTTCCGCGTAGAGACGTGAAGCTGCCGAGTCACGGGACAGGACAAACCTTGTCGAATACCAGTCATCCATCTATTTCCACTCACTGCCAACAGGTGGAAGGCTCAACGTCTTACTCACGGAGGAGATCCCCACTCGCATCACATTCAATCTTCGCCGCCGCCTCCCCTCGAAAGTCTTCGACGCCCTCGCAAAGGCCTATGACTACATCGTCCGTCAACGCAACCCCATCCTGCAATGCCTATACCTGCTTCTGTTCCTGGGCTCTTTCGCGACCTACTTGTACGAGGGATGGGGTCGCATACCATTGGGGGACCTCGCCCTTTCCGTCGCCCTTGTCCTGGCGTGCCTCGCGTCTTTCGTTGTCGCCTGCTCGGTGCCTGCCGGGACCATCTCGCCCTCCACATGGGAGCGATACGACAACTACAAGCCAGACAACGTCATTTACGTCGCAGGGAGAGTCTGCCCCACATGCGACGTCGTGAAACTGGCACGGTCGAAGCATTGCCGCTTGTGTGGAGTGTGCCAGTCTCGCTTCGACCATCACTGCGGCTGGCTGAACCAGTGCGTGGGTGAGGTCAACTACCGGCATTTCCTCTTCTTCCTCGCCCTTCACAGCTGCACATTTCTGTACGGCAGTTCTCGACTTTGGGGGATCCTCCGTAGGGAGATGATTAAAAACAAGCTGTGGGATGCGACCTTCTACAGCCCTTCGTCCGGGCAGACGGTCGGGTCGAGTCCCCTTGTCGTGTGTCAGTACCTTGTAGTGCATGAGGGCGCGGTCTGCGGGGTCCTTGCCCTCGCCTTTGTCATGGCTATTGTCCTGGCAGGGTTTTTGCTTTACCACCTGTGGCTTGCGGGGCAGAACACGACAACGAACGAAACTTTCAAGTGGGCGGAGGTCCGATTGAAAGTGAAAATTGAGCGAAGCCAAGCGCGGAGGGCTCACGAAGCCTCAGGTACGCGACGGGTAGTTCGAGGGGGAAGTAGAGGCAGCAGTCATGCGCATACAATAGAGATAACACGCTGAATGTGGTTCGTGTACCAAGCATCAGGGGTATCGCGCCCTCGTGGCGCCTGAAACGCCTTCCCTCACTGTCCTCCACGACAGGTGGCGCTCTTCCGTTACGCCGCATCGCCGACCCTGTCAACTCCTACAACATCTCACTTTACGAAAACCTCATGGAGGTGCTTTTTCCGCGGAGCGAAAGGCGGGCCCAAAATTCGACGGGACGAAAGGCCGTATCGCCGGTAGCGACAGAGTCAGAAAAGCTCTCCACGGAGGCCAGGGAAAAGATCGAGTAAAAAGAAATTATTACAGCAAATATGCCCCGCGGTTGTCTTGACAGATAAGCGCAGCTTCGGCGCGGATCACTAGATTGTGCATGCTCTTCGCTTCTTCTCAGTCTGCTGACGTGCGGGGTGGGTGAGACAGTGACAAGAGCTGCCAGGGAGGCGAGAGACCTTCAATCAAGTTTTCTGTGGAAGGCTTGTGATGCAATGCTCTCTTATTTCCACATATGGTGAGGAGAGAGGAAATCATGAGAAATGACACCACAATAAGCACAACTTAACTCGGCCCTCGTGTGTGACACATTGGCCGCTACTTTTGTATATATTTACATCACCTCGAATTTAATGAACAATCGCTATGTTACAGTATCAAATCTTTTCTCCTCTCTCTGTGCCTCGCGCACCTTTGTCGCCATTCTCTCGCTTTCAAGCCGACGCTCTGCGAAAAATCTCTTCATCAAATCACCACATTGCGCCGCATGGACCCCTCCTTTGACCTCTAGAGTGGAATGAAACGGATGCGGTGCCTGCTCCAATACCTTCACATAGCTCTCAATGGCTCCAAGTAATGTACTACGTGCTCCATACACCACGCGTTGAACCCGAAAGCTTTGCACCGCGCCCAAACACATTAAGCATGGCTCTAATGTCACGTACAGCGTACAATTTAACATACGCCATTTACCTTGGCCGTGGCGAGCTGCACCAAGCGCGGCTGCTCTCAGACATTCTAATTCAGCGTGTGCACTTGCGTCTCCTGTGGCTTCCACTCGATTGCGCCCTGTCGCAAGGACTTGACCCTCACTCGAGACGAGGACGGCGCCAACTGGAACTTCTTTGGCTGCGAAAGCCGCCTGAGCCTCAATTAGCGCCAAGGCCATATATTTTTCATCTTGATTTTCCCTCAAAGATGCGGAAGTAGATATACTATTGACAGCAAAGCTTCGTGCGTGGGGAGAAGACAATCGACAGGTGTGGAGAAAAGCATGCGTAGGGAGCAGGATCGGGCACAGCAGAGACAGTAAGGCCAAGAAAGTCACGCTTCGTGGCTGTAGGGCTTTTCCACAAATCATACTGCCACCTGCTCAGCGCGTAGCCTTTCGCTGTGTTTGTAAGTGTAAGTACTTTTCATTGTTGCCGTAAAGAGCGCATATGCTGCCGTGGCGGGTTGCCGCCGCGAACGAAGGGGCACTTTTCATCACAAAACTTCAACCTCGTTATTCGAATTTATAATCTCTCGACCAAGCTCAGGCACCCAATTCTTCAGACGGCGACAAAGACAGTCCATGGAGGATATCCGGTCGCAACGTATTTCGGTGTCACAATCGCAACATACTGCGACGTGACCGGAAATTATCGTTTTCCTTGATGGCCCATAAAGTAATTTTCAATCAGCTATCAGAATCTACGCTTCAGAAAGACTTTTCGAAATAACTTGATAAGAATAATAAATCGACCTGTGATTTCCTCAAACAGTTGAAGCTCAACAAAGTTTTCGAAATAACTTGATAAGAATAATAAATCGACCTGTGATTTCCTCAAACAGTTGAAGCTCAACAAAGTGCGGAGGGTCGTCTCCCCTCTGCATAGACGGTAAACATGCCGGATCGTTTTCCTCGAAGGCTTCGGCAGCGTCGGTGGGGAAGGCGTCTGCTAATATCACTGCTCGTTGGGCTAGTTCTTTTATGCACGGTATTTTCCGTCTTGAGTGGTCAATATATGGTGTTGCAAAATGCTCCCGATACTATCCTACATAGCTTAAAGGCAAGCCTTTCTGCTCAAATCAGCAACCAAAGGTCATCTGAAGAGACACATTATGCTGGTTTTCAGGAAGCGACTTCAAATTTGGCAGCACCCGAAGCAGTAGCGACAGAACTTGTGAGCGAAACCTTGGCAGTTAGATCATCGTTTGATGTCGCGAGAAAAGGTGGGATGTCATATAGGAGCATGCACAACAACTCCGAAACATCTGTCCCTATCTCAAAGTCTCCCGAGAAAGAGGAGATGCAGAAGTCACTGGATGGACCGAAGGAGGAATCAAATCAAACGTCCTCCGTCGCTTTTAGCGCATCTAAATCGCACTCTGAGAGTGAGGAAAGAAAGAGCCGAATATCGCCACGTGCAGCAGGTCCGAAAACTGAAGCCGCCATTCTCAGATGCCCGAACAGCCCGATACGCAAGTCGGGGGAAGACGGCAGCATTGTCTATTGGAGAACGTGGAGGGATGAAGAGCTTGCATGGTCAAGCTCATTTAAATCAAAGCACGGGGAGGATCCTAAATACGTGACCTTCGAGCCTGACGAGGGCGGATTTAATAACATACGAATGGCCTTGGAGATCGTCGTGGTCTTCGCCCTTGCCACCGGTCGCACGCTGGTCCTTCCTGATGAATATCCAATGTATCTCTTGGGAAAAGGGGGCGCGCTCCAGGAATTTGGCGATTTCTACGACATTTCTTCTTGGCAAAAATACTTGGAGGTGATGCCAATGCATGAATACTTGAAGAAAGAAGGACTGACTGGAGGCCTGAAGAATAAAGAGAGGCCGCCGGGGAATGCCACTACGTTTGACCGCCAAAAAACGTTATGGGATTACATTCGACGGGCAACAGATGTATTTCCTGTTGGGCCCGATGCCCACGTCGTCGCTTTCGGACTCCCAGCGCATGTCAATACCTCAAAGGCTCTGCATGAATATCATCCCGAAGCAGATGCCATTATCGACGGACGAAATCTACTGTGCTATGGCTCTGACTTGCACGCTAGAAAATCGCTGCATTTCACATCCATGTACAACGGAGGAAAACGTTATTTGGCTCATTTTTACGGATTTTTGTATTTTGCAGACCAAAAGGTTGACGCTTTCATGAAACGCTTTGTTCGCGATCACATGCATTATCGAAATGACATATTTTGCCGCGCTACAAAGGTGATCGATTTGTTGAGGAGGAATGCAAGTGATAAAAACGGAGGGTACGATGCCATACATATCCGACGAGGGGACTTCCAATTTAAAGAGGCGCGCCTCGACATAGAAGATATTTTTAAAGCAGTGGAGGATGTAATTGATCCTGGGTCACTAGTGTACATAGTAACGGATGAAAAGAACTCAACGTTTTTCGACCCTGTACGTGATCTGTACCGTCTCCGGTTTTACGAAGACTTTTACAAGGCGGCTGGATTGGAAGATATGGATCCCAACCTTACGGGTATGGTAGAGCAAATAATCGCCTCAGGGGCGCGTACGTTCGTGGGCACCTACTTTTCCACGTTTACCGCCTTCATCACACGTATGAGGGGTTATCTTGGAAGGAATCCAGGGTTCTATTATCTTGAAAAGTTCAAATATGCCTTGCAGTCCCCAGGCAAAAATTTCTACGCGTCAAGAGCGAATTTCGTCCGAGAGTGGCCGGTTGCATACACTAATTTAGACTTAGCATGAGAGCTTGTTGTCGATGTGACTGACTTTCTCCCCTCGTTTCTCGCATGTACACAAATTAAGAGCTAAACGTGATTCTCACCAGGAACATTTACGCATGCATTTGCCATCTTATTTTGAATGATACATTTCTTCGCATTTATGTTGCTCCCTCACCGGACCGCCGCTGGGCCTGTACAACAGCTCCTGTCCGTAGCCATCCTTGAAAGCCTCTCCCAACCAGGTCATCAAAGGCTAAAAACTGCCCGAAGTAAATGTTCGCCTTTTCTCGCCGATAGGAAGCCAGCATTTTAAGTACGGGGGCTACCTGTGCCGGAAGTACTTTTTCGACGTCTGACGTCATCGCCGGGTCCAAGCCCTTCTTTGACGCGGACAGATCGCAACGATGATCAATGTTTACCATGGAACACCTCGCGCAAGGGCCCGTTACTTTAAGCCTCACGCCCATCTCTCTAAAACCGACCTCCCTTCTTTGGCCTCCACCCTCATCTCTATCTCCGGGGAGGACATCAACGCTTTTCCATAAGTCCTCTTGGTGAGCCACACCGCCGTCAATCACCAAATTGGGCCTGAAGTTTTCTAATGTCACATAACAGCGGTCGCTTCGCACACCCTCATAACAGAGAGCGTAGTCCAAATCGACTTGCTGAGCAATGAGATCATTTAGATGGGCCACCGATGCTGAGGAGATGAGCAGAAACTGGGCCTCGTTGGTGAAATTGATCTCCTTCCGCTCTGCCCTGTCTCCTGTCGTCGTCGCGACAGGATCTGTTCTGTGAGTCTCCACAACCGCTCGGGACCGGCGCTTCTGGGAGTACGGACACGCTCGCACCAAGCTACAACTTCGCTTGAGAAACCTCGTGAACCAAGCGTCTATGCCCGCAGCGTCTTGATAGCCCAATCCTTGGCATGCCTCCCCACATACACTCACATCCCGGACATGGTCAGGAGTGGGCACAAGGCGGACACTGAGAACAAGATCCGGCATCCCTGGTGCCGCTACCACTAGCTCTTGTCTCTCGAGATCAACGTGGGGTCTTATGAACCGCATCTGGGCTACCTTGTTCAGACGCAGTGCCTGGCCGTGCCCGTCCACCAGGGCCCATTCTCGGTCGAAAAGCAATCCCGTGGGACCGACTGGCCATGCTTCAACAGACATTGCCGCGCACGATTTGATGGGGTACAAAAAGATACTGCCAAGGCGCAGTGTTAAGGGCGAGGGAGACCCAAGGGGTTCCTTTTTATCCAACGATAGTGCAAGGAAAGGGGGTGTCGACGCGTCCGCTGCCTCCGCCTTGGCCGTTTTGCTCACAAAATACTTGTCGATTACATGCAAAAATGCAGTCACGTCTTCCCAGGTCGACATGTAGCCAAAAGAGACGCGCACCGCCCCCGTGGGTCTTCCCTCTATCAAGTCGTTGTCGTCCCAACACACATGCCCAGCGTTCAGCTGCGCTTGCACGTCCTCCACGGACAGCCCGAGAGCCTCCTGACAAGCCCCCGGATTGCAAAAGCAGCCCGTGCGAAGCTGTATGCCATGCAAGGTCGCGATTTTCTCCACCTCCGAGTACCCGGCAATCGATCCGTCTGCCCTTCGCACATTGAACGTGACTACTGGTCCTTGCCGCGCAGGACTGGCGGGAGACAAACTGTACATGACGCACACGTGCTGGCCGTTGGCATGTCGAAGGCTTGAGAGCTGCTCGTAGCAGAACCGCGTCAGCGCCCACGTGTGTGCCCTGACGCGTTCTATTCCCCCGAGGACTTCGTCGAGAAAACGAAACCCTTCTCTCAGGGAAATAATGCCCAAGAAATCCTCCGTGCCGTCCGCCAAGCGCCTGGCTGGCTCAGGCCGCAAGAGTCGATAATCCGTTTCGGGTACGGCAGCCAACACGGTCCCACCACCAAAATACCGGCGGCGCACATGGCAAGAGTGGGTGTTGAGAGGAATGTGCGGGGCAGCGGAACTCCCCCGGGTCTCCGAGAGCCAGCGGCGGGCGAGGGACGACCGCACCAAGAGGCAGCCCAGCCCGGTGGGGTACCCGAATAATTTATAAAAGCTCAGAGAAAGCATGTCCACCTCCCCTTCTTGGAACGAGCCCAGGTCCAGAGGGCTTGTACCCACATACTTTGCGGCGTCCAGTAGCACGCTCACGCGCTGCCCTGCGTCGGTTGTCCGAAGCCGCGCCAGGGCCTGCCGCAAACGTGCCCAGTCCAGCGTCCGCCCGGAGAAGTTGCACTCGGCAGGGAACACCAGCAAATGCTCTGTCTCGGGAAACGTCTCGGTGGGTCCGTCTTCTGTGCTGACGCCATTCTCGTGACGGGGGAATGGGGAAGAGGAGCCAGTCTGGTGCATTGCTTCGTGCAGAGCAGCCGCCAGGGCCACATCGGCCTTCTCTCCGTACTGGACAGAGGGTGGCAAACAGGCAAAACCCGCTCCAGCCTCCAGCGCTATTTCCCGCATACCCAAGACACTGGTGTGGGCGTTGTGCGCGTAGATCAACCGACTTGTCCCGTGTCCGCGCCAGGGGAAGAGCTCGGCGGCCATCTTGAGTGCTGCTGTGGCGCCTGATGTGAAGACCACGGTCCAGTCCTCAGGAGGGGCGTGAAAATGGGCAAGCACAGAGCTGCGCGCCTCCTCCACTAAATCTGCAGTGGCACTTGCCACGGGCC